CTGTGAGTGAATGAATGAGTGGCTTGCTTAAGGCTAACTAGTACAGTTATGACACAGGCATGACTTCAACTAAAGATTTCTGATTCAAAACCCCCATCTCTTAGGACATTACTACACACATCTTTTAAACTGTGATTATACCAGGAAAGAAGCAGCTTTGGTAATGCACGACCACTTCTGACTCATAGCTGCTTTGTCCCGATGCATCCATTTTCATTGATGGGAGAAACCTGTCAATGACCTGTTGAGTGCACAAGTCCCTAGATGTGAAATGTCACTCCTGGGACAGTTGTACAATTGCCAGTCATGTGGTGGCAGTGCTTCCACTCCTCCTGTCCTCCGTCCCTGTCACTGTTCCCAAGTATCCTGATAACCTTTATTTATTTATTTATTTATTTATTTATCTATCTCTTTTCTTTTAGTTTCAGTCACAATATCAGAGCTCTAGAATTGCATGAAAAAGTGTGGAATTAAAAAAAAATAGCCTAAAGACATGCTCGGTACAACATAAGGCAGGGTTAAGGGAGAGTCAGGAAGAAAGTGCAGCCGCCCCAGTCACGCTACTAAGAGGTAGCTTCACTGCAAGCAATATGTCTCCCCACTTTTTCTTACTAGAATGACTGTCGTGAGAACAAGGTTTGTGCAGAAGAGACCTTAACCACTATGGTACATCAGCAACTAGATTACTGTCAAAAGTATAAATTGCATTGCTCATAGTGCCATGTTTTTGACAACACTGTCCTCATGATATACCAAATATATATGTTTTATAAATTTAAGATGATTTAAGATGATTTAACGGATGTAGTGGTTAATTTGACACTTTTTCATGCAATTCCAGAACTCTGATAATTGTGATTGAAACAATAATTTGGCCCTTTCTTATACAGCAATCAACCTTCACCCTGGGCTGTTTGCAGCCTATAAATAGACTACCAAAATTCTGTTTAGGTGTGCCTGGTTAGAATTCCTGGTAACACTTCATCACTCTGAATTCTGATCTAGCTCTGACTCGTTCCATGTCCTCATCCATTCTCCTGGTCAAATCCAATTACACATCTGTCCATCTGGAGCACTCTGGATAGGTAATACCACCCTTAGAAAGCCTCGTGTCTATCCCACACTATCTTGCTTTATTCCTGAGGTTTTGTGTAAATGTGTATGTGAACATGTGTCTTGTATGCTTGAATAAATACACAAATTGATTTGGAAAAACCTTGTCTCTATACATCTATTCCCTTAGCCACCTCCATATAAGCTGGGTTTGCCTCCTGCTAACTATATGAACTATATTAATATTCCCTTGATATTAGCTCAGATCTGATCATTCAGACTATTAGATTATTGGCTCAAAAACCATCTTGTAGTGCTTATAATAAATATAAATAGATTAGCATAGCAAGAAATTGGAGTAATCATTGTTGATTAAGAAGTCAAGCCAAGTTTGCCATCACATGCATGCTCAATGAGAAGAAGCAGACTGTCACAGATAGTCTTTCTCTGATCTGCAGAGTGTTATTGCCACTTTTCACTTTCAAATTACTAGTTATAAAACTTTTTAGACTGCAGTCATGAGATTTTCTGTGCAGGTCTGATGGTGCACAGTTCAGAAACCAATCTAGTCCCATTCAGTACTTGGATGGGAGACCATCTGGAAAGTTAGATCCATCCTCTTTTGTTCTTTCAAAGAAAGGTTTGGGCTCCAAATGTACACGTTGGTCTGCAAGTCACAGTTGCACAGGGAATTTTTAAAAAGTAACAGATGTTGCAGAGGGAATCAGGATCACAACTGTAGTGTGGTGAAGTGATTTAACATCAACCTGACTTAAACTGCTCCCCACATCATCTGCTCTTTATTTTTTATTAAGTAATCATGCTATGAGCAGTGTCCTGGTTAGTGCCATGTTTCATTTTATCTGAAATCAATAGTGTGGTCCCCAAAGAGCCAGAATTCTGTCTTTAAAAACTGCAACAATGTTGGTTGTATTCTCCCTCCCCCCCAATTGACACTTGTATTAGAATTGCCCCATGGTGTGCTGCTTCCTTCTTTTTCTCTCTGCCAATATGGGAGCAGCAACACCATCCAAAGGAAAGAGTAAGGATGTATTTTATCCCTAGTGCACTCTATGCTACACTGGTGAATGCAGAAAGAATCCTGGGTGCCTTGTTGTTGTCCAGGGAACTGATCTCTCAATAACAGGGGAAAGTGGAGGATAAGATCCTGAGAGACCGCTGCAAATATGATGCCTTGAGTTGAGGGCAAGTGATTTTTGTTTTGAGTTGTGGGCAAGTGATACTGCCTGTAAGAGGGAGAATCAGTCTTTTGGTGTACAAGAGATGAAGTTTGGCTCCAGTTTAAGGAATAAGCCAACATTAGTCCCAATTAGGGTAGGCTCATGGAAAGGAAAGGGCTTGTTAGTTGCCACTTAGATGTACTCAGCTCTAATTGGTACCAACACTGGATTTAGCCTTAAATTTAGAAAGTAGTTTGTTGTTGTTGGTTGTGTGCCCTCAAATCATTTCCATCTATGAGAACCCTAAGGCATAGGGTATCATGGGGTTTTCTTAGCAAATTCCTTCAGAGGGGGTTGCCATTGCCATCCTGTGGGGCTGAGAAAGTATGATTTGTCCAAGGTCACCCAGCGGGTTTCCATGGCTGAGCCAGGATATGAAGCCTGCTCTCCAGAATTATAGCCCAACACTCAAGTCACCATGCTGGCTTTCCTAGAGGTAGTAAGCATTTGAAAAACCAATGGTCCAAGAAATATTGGGATGTTGATTTCTTTAAAACAGGGGTAGGCAACCTTTTTGAGCCGGGGG